TTTGTCTATGATTCTGGCTGTACGGTTGCCCTTCTCTACGATCCCAATAATCCATGCTTGGTGACCTTCACCATATTTGGGAGACTTTATCTCTGCACAGAACCGAGCTGCTTGCTCACGTGGTAAACAGATTAGAAGGCCTCCTGGCAAAGAAAAAATGATTATCATTAGTCGTGATGCCCTGTGAGCAGTTTCTCCGTCACTATCTTTCCAAAAAAATCTTGCAGATCTACGCTCAACCAAAAACTTCTATCTTCAAGCTGCCCCTTCCAATGAAGCCTGTGCTGTTCTGCCTTCATCTATTCCAGATTAAACTGTAATTAAACTGTTTCTTGGAAAACTTCTACTATAATAAAAAACATATACACAATAACGAACTTTAAACTGTGAAGATGACTTACTTGTGAACCACTGCTGTGTAGGAGTAGGTGTTTGAGGCCTCAATCACATATGTGGTAGCTATTTTTTCCTACCACAGGGAAAGAAATACTTAAAAACATAAGCTTCCACCTGGCCGGTGGAACCAAGTGGTCACGGTTCAATTCCAGGTCAGGGCACATGCCCAGGTTGCAGGCTTGATCCTCAGTAGGGGGTGTGCAGGAGGTAGCTGATCCATGATTCTGTCATCATTGATGTTTCTATTTCTCTCTCCTCCTCCCTTCTTCTCAGAAATCAATAAAAATGTATTAAAAACAAGTTTCCTTTTTAGAAAATCCTCACCTGAGGATATGTTTTACTGTCTTTTAGAGAGGAAAGGAGAGAGAGAGAAACATCAATGTTACCTCCTGTATGCACTCGGATTGGGAATGGAACCCACAACCTAGGTATGTGCCCTCACCAGAGTTGAACCCACCTTTTGGTGTACAGAACTCTGATCCAACCAACTTAGCCACCCAGCCAGGGCCTGGCCCCTAAGTTTTTGTTTCTTCAGTTTATTCTGGGATATCTTTTTCTCCTGTGCAACCTCCTCTTCTGGTTTAGGAACAATCTGCTCCATAAGTTCTGCATCCCATCTTGGGAGCTTTGTTCACCTGGATGTGCACAATTACCAGAGAATCCACATCTAAACCCTTAAGTTCAGCATTACTCTCTGCACTTTCAAGTATGTATGGCAAAAATTCAGCACTCTTTATGGAAAGTGAACATGAAGATTTGAACCTCTTGATTTGCATCGTTTTGTGGGGTTTTCTGGGAGAAGTGAATAGTGAACCATTTTTACAGGTCACCTTAGGCCACTTTTGGGAAGAGGAAGCAGACTTTGCTTCTTTAAGACAGGATTTTCTCTTAAACTGAGAGACTTACCAGAGAACCACAACCCTTCTGCAAATAGGTCATACAAGACTGACATGTGAGCAGGGCTTTGTAGTCATTGCCTCTGGCTGCACTCCAGAATCTTTTGAGAAGCTGTTATAATTATTGATGACCAGGCCCACCTGTCTGACTGAACTGGGTTTCCTAGGGAACAGGTCTAGGTGTGTGTGTGTGTATTTTTTAAATTGATTTTAGAGAGAAGGGGGGAGAGAGAGGGAGAGAGCCAACCAAGTAAGAAATACTAATGGGCTGCCTCCTGCACCTGCTCCAACTGGGGATGGAACCCACAACCTGGGTATGTGCCCTGATCTGGAATATGGGATGATGCTCCAACCAACTGAGCCACACCAGCCATGGCTAGGCATGCATAATCCCTAGATAATTCAACTCTTTTGCCAGGATAGGGAAATTACTGAGGTACAATAAACCCTCCATTTTGTGGACCTTGATTTAACAGACTTCGGATTTAAGGGACAAAATTTCTGGTCCGTATGTCATATGTGAAAATTAACACTCTGTTAATTTTAAAGTGCTTTAACTAAGATTTGCTTATAATTACATTAACGGGGTTTTTTGTTGTTATTAATTCACTATTACTTTATTTCATTTTTAAAAATATTTTTTTTATTGATTTCAGAGAGGAAGGGAGAGAGAGAGAGAGAGATAGAAACATCAATGATGAGAGAGAATCACTGATGGGCTGCCTCCTGCATGTGCCCTACTGGGGATCGAGCTCGCAGCCCGGGCATGCGCCCTTGACCAGAATGGAACCCAGGACCCTTCAGTCCTCAGGCTGATGCTCTATCCACTGAGCTAAGCCATCTAGGGCAATTCACTATTATTTAAAACAAATTTTTGCAAATAGGTCATACGTTGGAAAAAACACTGACATAAGTAAATATTATATGTCTACAACTATAGTCTACATATTGAAATCCAAGAGTCATAGCTCATAAACACTTGGTGAATGATTAGCATGTGATCAACACTGCATAGCACATAGCATGACTTTATACAGCAGTTTTTAAAAAATAGTTTTATTGATTTTTATAGAGAAAAAGAGGGATAGAAACATCAATGTTCAGAGATAATCATCAATTGGCTGCCTCCTGCACGCCCCCTACTGGAGATCGAGCCTACAACCTAGATATGTGCCCTGACCTGGAAGCAAACTGTGATCTCCTGACTCATGGATTGACGCTGGGCATATGCAGCCCAGCAGTGTTAACATGTTGGGGCCGATGTTCCCATGTGTGCTAAGAAGCCCCAGCTGTGAGCATTTGTTTACTCACAGTGACTGGTGAATGTACACATTCACTAGACCTATTCAGTATAAATTAAAAATTACTGTAATACATATAGAAAACTTTTCTGTTAAGCTTTTCATACATACTTAATTTTAATTACAAAAATCTATAAAAACAGGTAAACTGATTTTGTCAATTTTTTCACATATGGTTTGGAAAACCTACTTTACTATTATCAAGGAAAGAAAATAAAAATAAGAGACTGAAAAAAAAAAAGAGGATGACTTAATGGATAAAATACAAGAGTGAAGGGGGAAGGGAGAAAAATGGGTCAAAAGAAAAAATGGCACTTTGGAAACATACTATACTATTTCATTGTTAAAGCAATTTTAGACTTTTTTACCCCCAAGGAAAAAACAGCCTGTTCAGTGTAAACTATGATTATTAATTATTTTAAATGGCAGGTTTCCAATGAAAACTGAGTAGTGACTTATTTTTCCCCATAATCTTCCTTCTTCCCATTCTGTCACCAAACACAGGGAACAATGGACTTAAACAAGACTGCTCCATCGCACACAGGATGGCGGGAGATTGGTAACCTACAGCACAAAGGGGCTGAGAACATCTGTTGCTAAGACCACCAAGGTTATCAGCACTGACCTCACACAAAATGGGGTCATGCTCATGTGTTTGGCTTCTTCTTTCTCATGAAACTTTCCATTAGCCTCACTAGTTTTTAATCCTCAGATTTGGGCCCAGGATCCTTGTACCTGATGTCTCCGGGCAGGTCCCATGCATGAGGCCAAACATGTTTCCGCAGGCCTTGCTCACAGCAGCCATCTTGGCCAGGACAGGGAGGTTGTGAATCACAAAGGACACCTCGTTCCTCTGCTGCTTAGCCAGGTTCTGTGCGTGGCCCAGAATTCCAAAGCCAGTGATGTCAGTGGCAGCGTGGGCATTGAACGTGTGCATGAGTCCAGCAGCTAAGAGACCAGAAAAGAAATTTATTATCTGGTGTAATAAATGGAGACTTTCTGAGAAAAACAAACAAAATCACCCCATCTTTCCTCAAGTCAAAATCTTAAATACACTTTGATCTCAAAATTCCTAATTGTCAGGGAGATTGGCATATCAAAATGAAAATGTAATTTTGAAAAATCAACAAAATCCATAGTGAAATTTTAAAAGTTTATTTCAATTTCAACCACTTAGAACTATCAGCTGCTTCAATTAACAGTAACTTCTTAGTAAGCTAAAAAATCTGTATGGAAAAATTACAATCACAACAAAAGGTAAGCCTGTCTAAACCATCCTAAAATCAAAGAGGAGGACTTTTTTTTAAAGCACAATTTATTGATTTTTAAAGAGAGGGAGAGGAAGAAACATTGGTGCAAGAGTACATCAATCAACTGCCTCCTGCACGCCCCCTACTGGGGGATTGACCCAGCAACCCAGGCATATGGGCCCTGATCAGGAATCAAATTGGCAACCTTTTGGTGCACAGGACAATGCCCAACCAACTGAGCCATACCATCCAGGGCAAACAGGACTTTTAAAGACTGACCTAAATTCCAGGCAATCTCGCTGTAAGTGGAAAGTTAATTTCTTACTTAAAAAAAAAAAAAGAATTATTGATCTGAGAGAGAAAGGGAAAGGGAGAAAAACACCAAAGATGAACATCACTGATCAGCTGCCTCCTGCAAAGCCCCTATTGGGGATTGAGCTTGCAACCCGGGCAAGTGTTGACCAGGAATTGAACTTCAACCTCCTGGTTCATAGGTTGATGTTCAATCACTGAGCCACACCAGCCAGGCTAATTTCTTATTTTTTAATTTTAAAAAATTCTCTTTGTTTTTGGAGTTTTAAGTTTATAGAAAATTGAGTGGAAAGTGCAGAAGTTTCCATATACCCCCTTTCTCCTATTAATATTTACCATTAGTGTGGTACATTTGCTATGTGATGAGCCAATATTGATACATTAACTGAATTTCATAGTTCACATTGGGGTTCACTCTTGATGTCTATACTAGTAGGTGTTGATAAATGCATATGTAACATGTATCCATCATTACATTATCATACAGATAAGTTTCACTGCCCTAAAAATCCTGTGTTCCACCTATCCCTCTCTCTTACTCTTGCTAACCACTGATCTTGTTACTGTCTGTAGTTTTACCTTTTCCAGAATGTCATATAGTTGGAATTATGGTGCTTGGTCTTTTCAGATTGGCTTCTATGACTTAGTAATATGTGTAGGGTTCCTCCAAATCTTTTCATGTCATAACAGCTCATTTCTTTTTAGCTATCAATAATATTCCATTGTTTGGATGCACCAGTTTATCAATTCACTTACTGAAGGATCTCCGTTCAAGTTTTAATAATTATAAATAAAGCTGTGACAAACAACTTGTGCAGATTTCTGAGTGGACAGAAATTTTCCATTCATTTGGGTAAATACTAAGGAGCACAACTGCTGGATAATAGTATATTTAGTTTTGTAACCAACCACCAAACTGGCTTCCAAAGTGGTTGCTCCATTTTGCATTCCCATCAGCAAGGAATGAGAGTTCCTATTGCTCCATATCGCTGTCAGCATTTGGTATTGTCAGTGTTAGGCTTTTAAGTAGGCATGTAGTAGTATCTTGTTTTAAATTGCCATTCCCTAATTACATAGACTACCAGTCCTTTGTCAGAACTGTGTTTTGCAAAGATCTTCTTTAAGTCTGTGCCTTGCCTTTTTATTCTCTTAGTGTCATTCACAGAAGTTCTTTGTATGAATGAAATCCAACTTCAATTTTTTTCTTTTATGGATAGTACTTTTGGTGTTGTATCTAAAAGGCATCACCAAACCCCAGGTCACCTAAATTTTCTTGTTATCTTCTAGGAGTTCACCAGTTTTGCCTTTTACATTTAGGTCTATAATCCATTTTGAGTTAATTTTTATGAAAGGTATAAGGCTTGTATCTATAATCATTTTTTGCCTGTAAATGTCCAGTTGTTTCAGCACTATTTGTTGAAAAGACTATCCTTTCTCCACTGAATTACCTTTGCTCTTTTGTCAAGGATTAGTTAACTATACTTATGGGAGTCTATTTCTGGACTCTCTAGTATCCTCACCTGAGGATATTTTCCCATTTTTAGAGAGTGTGGAAGAGAGAGGAAAGACAGAGAGAAATACTGATGTGGGAGAAACGTATTGATTGGTTGCCTCCTGAACGCACCCTGACCAGGGCCCCAGCTGGGGAGAAGCCTGCAACTGAGGTACGTGCCCTTGACCAGAATTGAACCCGAGACTCTTTGGTCCACAGGCCGTCGCTCTATCCACTGAGCCAAACCAACTACGGCTAGATATGTTTTTCTATTCTTTCACCAATATCACACCGTCTTGATGACTGTAGTTTTAGCTGCCACTGATGTTTACTACATCAAAGGGATAGCAAAAAAAATAGCAAATATGTAATCCAATCATTCTTCCTGCATTTATTAGATGTGACTCTTCTATAAAGAATTTTTTAAAAATGTATTTGCTTTTCCCCAAAGCACAGCCTATACAGGAACAGTAAAATGTGTGGTTGATTCCTTTTATTTATTTTCAAACAAGTTGGTGCCCAGCAACTTCCAAATGTGACCAAAAACATTTTCATCTCTATGATGTCATTGATTTTTAGATCCTTGATCTACTTAACTGACTGTGTCACTCTTCTTAATACTCAGGTTGCCCAGCCTTCCAATTTGACTGGTGGGCGCCTCTGAGTTATGGGAAGTGACGTAACAACAGCTGTTGGTAACACCATTACTTTCAGGCATAGGATGTCCTAGGCTTATCTTTTGTATTTCTAGTCCCAGTTAGAATCAGCCATTTCCCCAAGGAATCCTAGCATTTTTTGTGGAAAATGATAATTTTCAGATCAGAATGATGGCAGTAGGTGTTCATTACTAATGGGTTATCATTGCTTCAGACCTTTTCGATAGACTTGGAAGTAAGTTTTGGTTGTTGTTTTTTTGTTAATCCTCACTCAAGGATATTTTTCCATTGATTTTGAAAGAGTGGAAGGGAGGGGGAGAGACAGAGAAACAATGATGTGAGAGAGACACATCGATTGGTTGCCTCCAGCACGAGTTCTGACCAGGCCTGGGGATTGAGCCTGCAATCGAGGTACGTGCCCTTGATTGGAATCAAACCCAGGACCCTTCAGTCCCCAGGTTGACACTCTATTCACTGAGCCAAACCAGCTAGGGCAATAGCATTTTAGAGGGGAAAATAATGCTGAGTTTTTATTGATAATTCCAAATTAAAGATTACAATTTTTACTTAGATTCTTTCATATAATTCTTCCCCACGTGGTTTTGTCATTAAGTTGATATATATTAGGCAACTTAAAAAAAAAAAGTGGTTTGGATTTGTAAGATGTGCTCTTTTTTTATTAAAAAAAAATTTTTTTTAATTTGGAAGATTCTCAGCCTAACCAGATAGTTACTTTATTTTTTTTTAATTAAAATTTTTAACCTATAGAAAATGACATAAAAAATTCCAAAGTCAAACTTATAAAGCAATGCATGTTCAGAGTCTGCTTCCTCCCTAATTCCTCTTATATGTAACAATTTTTACTAATGATTTGTTTCCATTGCTTCTTTTTGAAAGTATAAAACACTCATTACTTCATATTCATATGAATACACAAAATATAGCATACTGTATACATCATTCTGCCCTTGCTTTTTTCAGTTACTCATATCCAAGATAACTCCCTAGTAATAAAGACCTCTCATCCCTTTTCAAGCTACATGTGTAAATACAGACTAGATAATTCAGCTATCTATCCATGGACATGTGGATTGTTTGAGCAATTCTAGATAGTGCTTCAATGAATGGCCTCATTTTATATTTTGGCCATTGTAACTTTGTGACATTCACAGAAGTGGAACTGATAGGTTAAATAAATGTATGCTTAATTTTTGCTAGGTATTACCAAATATTCCTCCACAAGCATTCTGCCATGTTTATCCCTACCAACAACGTATAAAAAATAAGGATGGGGAAACATAAATACAGGTAAAAATAAATCCACTACCAATCACTTTCCCACTGTTAAATTACTCAATTTGAAGGACAAAAAAGGAAAAACACTCCTTAGTTTAAGTGACACAGGAAGAAATGAAAAGCCTTGGTTGCAAGTGCTGAGGCACCTGAGGACAAAGAATTAAATAATTACTATTCAACTTTGGAATATAGCCAAAAAACTATTCCTGAAATACAGGAAAAAAATTTATGGGAAAAATCTTACCTCCAAATCAATTGCTCAAAAGTAGGCAAAAGATAAATTAACTATGATATATTTCTCTGATAGGACATTTAGCCATTAAAAACTATGTGTACTAGAATTATAATGTAGAAAAAAAGAGCTAGTAATATCCTATCTAATAAAGAGGTAATATGCAAATTGACCATCACTCCAAACACACAAGATGGCTGCCCCATGTGGTCAAAGATGGCCACCCCCATGTGGCCACAAGATGGCTGGCAGGGGAGGGCTGTTGTGGGGGACCAGGCCTGCAGGGGAGGGCAGTTGGGGGCGACCATGCTGGCAGGGGAGGGCATTTAGGCATCGATCAGGCTGGCAGGGGAGCAGTTAGGGGGTGATCAAGCTGGCAGGGGAGCGGTTAGGGGGTGATCAGGCAGGCAGGCAGAAGCAGTTAGGGGGCAATCAGGCAGGCAGGCGAGCGGTTGGGAGCCAGCAGTCCTGGATTGTGAGAGGGATGTCCCACAGGGATCGGGCCTAAACGGACAGTCGGACATCCCTTGAGGGATCCCAGATTGGAGAGGGTGCAGGCTGGGCTGAGGGTGGGGGGTGATCAGGCTGGCAGGCAGGTGAGTGGTTGGGAGCCAGTAGTCCCGGATTGTGAGAGGGATCCCAGATTGGAGAGGGTGCAGGCTGGGCTGAGGGACACACCCTGGCCCCCTGCACGAATTTCGTGCACTGGGCCTCTAGTTAAATAAATAAAAGCAGATTCCAAACACATATAAAATGTTCAACCACAAGTTTAAAATATTAACAATAAAACAAAAGTAAACCACTAACCAACCAAACAGAAAAAAATCCCAGAAGAATACATAAAAATATTAACAGAAGCCGTTTTGGGGGCAGGGACTATGGACAATGTTTTTTTCTCTTCTTTTTTTCATTTTCTAAAAACTTTTCCATAATGAACTTTTTTTTTTACAGTAGAAAAAATGTATACAATAAACAGGAAGAGAAAACATATTAAAGCATTTTTTTAAATGTAGCACACTACTGACCAAGAAAAGTTCTCAGCAGCAACCCAAATGCCCAAAAGCAGGTGGCCAGATAAGTAAGTTACAGAGTGAAAAAATACACAGTGGAGAAGATGAAGGAAATACAGGTACACACACCAGGGATAATGCTCAGGAACATTAAACAGTAAACAGCAAGAAAAACAGATACAGATATGATTCAATGAAACAAAAAATGCAAAACTAATTTATTGCTTAAGAATACAAGTCTATGTGATAAAAACTTTAAAAGCATGAGAATAAACATTAGATTCAGAACAATGGTTACCCCTAAGCAGGAACCTACAAACTGAATGTGAGGGGCACCTACGGGCTTCCAAAGCCACACTGTGTTTCTCATATGAGATGGTGGGCACATGGATGTTACATTGCTGTTCCTTAAGCCCTGCACATATTTTATTATTAGAGAAACACCTGTGTGGGTTGCTCTGTACAGATAATTAGGAAACAAACCAGCCTTAAAAAAATTTTTTTAAATGTTCTGAGCCCAGACAGTGTGGCTCAATGGCTGAGCATCAACCCATGCACCAGGAGGTCACTGGTTTGATTCCCGATCAGGGCACATGCCAGGGTTGCAGGCTCAACCCCCAGGAGTGGGCGTGCAGAAGGCAGCCGATCAGTTTCTCTCTCATCAATGTTTCTATCCGCTCTCTCCCCCTCTCTTTTCCTCACTCTCTAAAATAAATAAAAACATTTTTAAAATAAATTAAAAAATAAAATGTTTTATTGCTTTTTTTAGGGAGAGAGGAAGACAGGAACATTGAGGAGAGAGAAACCCAGGCATGTACCCTGACTGGGAATCAAACTGGCACCTTTCTTTGGTTAGTCCTCACCTGAGGGTTTTTTTTCCCATTGCTTTGTAGAGATAGTGATGGGAGTGAGGGAAGGGGGAAGAGAGAAAGAGAGAGAGAGAGACACACACACAGAGACATTGATGTAAGAGGCACATGGATTGGTTGCCTCTGCAGGTAGCAGTGATGGAACCCACAACCCAGATACATGCCATTGACCAGGAATCAAACCTGCGACCCTTCAGTGTGGAGGTCGATGCTCTAAGCACTGAGCCACATTGGCCAGGGCAAACTAGCGACCTCTTGGTGCATGGGACAACATTCAACTAACTGAGCCACACCAGCCAGGCTCAAACCAGCCTTTAGAATGTAAGCTCTAAGAGAGCAGGGACTTTTGTCTGTTTGTTCACTGCAGTCTCCCTAGCACTTGGAAGAGTGAAAACACACTAAAGGTGCTCATTTAATAGAAACTGAGTGAAGTGAACTTTGTACACCACATGCTAGTCACTCTTTTTGGTACTTCATTGACATTTTTTCTTTTTAATAATCCTATGAATAGGATCCTGTCTTCCCCCTTTGGCTGAAAGGAAACACATATAACAAATACATGTATATCCTGCTCTCAAACCCAAAGGTGTCCAAAACCAGGGACCAATACAGGAAGATTTGCAGTCACTGGCCCAATCTGGACCATGATATGTTCCTCCAGCTAAGAATGGTCTTCTGAGACTGTATGTGGCCTGTAAAGCCTAAATATTTCCCATCTTGACCCTGTTCTGAAAACTTGCCGACCCCTGCAACAGACAACCTTCCGCCCCAATACCTGTTCTGTTGAGCCTTGCCATATTCATCATCGCCTCCTGGTATGCCAACTCCACATCTTCTTGAGTGACCACTAGTTTAATTTTATTCCACTTTTCAGGCTAATATAGGAACATAGGTGAGGGAGAAAAGAGGGGGGCGGAAGAATGTGATTAACCTTTACTTCTAAGGACTGAAAGAAAAAGCCCATTTTTCTCTAGTCAACCAATAGGGAATTTTACTTTTCTAATTTTGTATGCAAAATTAAATTTTCTAACTCCCCCCCCACCCCTAACTATTATTTTAGGTGTCCATTAAACATATCACTGAGGTATCTTTTTGTGTTCTTGACCCACATTTCTGCAGTCAAATACTATACTGCAATTTATTGGCTAGTAAAAGCAGTAGGACATATGGCTGCAGTGCGCATGCCATAAAAGGTATTGCATGGGCAGCTTCTCTGTGGTAGGGTGTAGATCTCACATAAATAGCTTTGAATGTCCTTTGGTTTGCCTCTCCATCTCTCCTATAAATCTGATGGCTTTATTTTTCATATAATTATACTGTTATTGACTTTACCTAATTCTGGATCAAAGCATCTTATAGACAAATGAATGGGGAAAGCAACTTTGATTGCATTAGCACTAAGGACAGTCGTAGTGACCACAAAGGATGTATCATAAAAGGAAGGAGAAAAAGGTGTTTCCCTTTTTCCTCAGTTGATTTTCAAAGAAGCCAGCATCATGATTATGGGTTCTTTTTTTTTTTTTAATCCTCACCAGAGGATATTTTTTCCCATTGATTTTTTAGAGAGGAAAGGAGGGAGGAGGGGGAGAGAAGGAGAAAGAGAAACATCAACGTAAGAGAGACACATCAATTGGTTGCCTCCTGCACACGTCCCTACCAGGGTTGGAGAACCTGCAACCCAGGTACGTGCCCTTGACCAGGAATCGAACCCTCGATCCTTCGGCCCGTGGGCCGATACTCCAACCTCTGATCCAAACTGGCCAGGGCATGATTACGGGTTCTTGATAGATTGTCATCATGGTCCATTAATGGCCATAATTCATGCATACATTCATTTATCTTTTAATGATACCCAACAATCTACCACTAAATACAATAACAAGTCTATGTGTCCCTCCCTAATCCCACTGCTCCCCAACTCTTCCTCAGAGGTAACAACTGCTCTAAATTTTATACTTGTCATTCCCTTTTCTTTCAAAAAATAGTATTCTCATACATATAGAAGCCTACAATATGCTCTTTGGTTGCTTCTGACTTTTATAAAAAGGGTACTGTGCTACATAGTCTTTGGAACTTTTTTTTTTAATGCTCAAAATTGAAAAAACAAGGTATAAAAGCAAAGGAGGTGTCAGTTTGGGGGTGAGGTGGGGAGGAGAGATCCCAAACCCCTCATTTTTTATGCCCCTCTGCCACACCTGTTTCCGATTGCCTTGCTGAATTACTCAGATCTGAGTGGTTGAATTGCAAAGCAACTCTGTGGATCACTACCCTGTAATGGCCTTCCAATTAGATTTACAGATGATCATACGTGATGAGAAATCTCCCCATCATCACTGGATGAGAGGGGAAAAATGACTAGACTGTGGCAGCCTTAGAGATTTTCTCTACTCTTCATATCAATCCAACATACACTTGGTTATAAATAACATAAAATTGTTTTTCTTTTTTAACTGTTTATCAGGACTGGTAGTTTCAGATGATAGTTGTAGAAATTAAAAGCACCAAGATATGTGAGATATACCACAAATCATATTAATTTTTGAGTTGTAATCACAATGGGAAAAATATTAAATGAATTATGGTTCTAGCTCAGTGGAAAAGTGACTCAAGATAAATACCTGTGTATTCTAGATGTTCTCTCTACAAGGTATTATTTATTAAAATGTTCTGTGTTACTATTTCAGCACCAAATAAACTAAACTCACTGCCTCACAAATTCTCTTTATGAAGCTTCGTTAAAGCCCCAAGCTGGGGCTTACCTCCTTTAAGTATTCAGTACATGATATCCTGATTTAATAAAAAAAAAACCAACCATGGACAATTCCTAGTATTTCTATAGGGCGTGACTGATACTAAACTCCCTGGTAGTGACACTAAAGGAGCTCCTTTTTAGAAGACAAGCTGGTGACATTTAGAAGAGCTAGACCTGAAACATGTTAAAACATGTTCAAGGGCTTCCTGTATGGATAAAAAGTGGCACTTACTCCAGGAGCAGATACATCTTAGATTAAAGAGATACGTGATCTGAATGCAATGAAAACCCTTTTCTCCAAATCCCACAAGGAAACTACCACAATCCTGAAAACTTCTCTCCAGCCCCCGCCCCCCTTGCGTCCCCAGGGGCTTGGTCAGAACCAGCACATCCCCAGGCACTGCGTTATCTGGCCTGAAAAAAAAGAACAAGGGCATGGTCTGGTCAAATGAACCAAGAAGGTGAACTCATCATCAGTTAAACAGGAGAAAGAAAAGGCTGGTAAAAAAAAACAGTGCATTTGCAAGCACTTATATTTAAGCCACAACTACCAAGTGTTGCAGCTTTGCAACTTGCTACTGAAGCTACTACTACTGGAACAAAAACACTGAAAGAGAATAGAAGAGTCTGCCAATTACCTATTAGATCCAGCCCTCCAATAAAATGTATAAAAAAGTAAATCACTTAGCCTTCAAAGGCAAAAGGCCTGATCAGGCCCTGATTCAGCCATGCTGGTGTGTAATTTTCAGTACAGACCCACCATGCTTCTGAGGCAATAAGACTTCTGAAACAGATTGTTTCTCAGGCTGTGGGATTTGGCTCAAATTGTGGTTGTCTAATGTTTTGGTGATTTCAGCATCAAAGTTTCAAACTCAGACTGACCAGTAATAAGTTTCATATTTGGCACTCAGATTACTGAAGACTGGTACAAATGGTTGTCTCCAGGAAAGGAAATGGCTAAAAAACACATTAAAAGGTACTCAATATCATTAACCACCAGGGAGATGCAAATCAAACCACTGTGGGTACCACCTCAACCCACTAGGATAACTATTATAGAAAAAATAAAATAAAAACAATAACAAATACTGGAGAGAATGTGGAGCTATTGGAATCCTCCTACATTGCTGCTGGGAACCAGTTTGACAGTTGCTCAAGTTAAACAGTTGCCACATGACCCAGTAACTCTGAGGTATATATACCGAAGAGAATCAAAACATGTGTTCAGAGCAGCATCATTCATAAATAGGTGGAAATAACCCAAAGATCTATCACCTATGAATAAACTGTGATATGTCCATGCAATGGAACATTATTCAGCCATAAAAATGAATGAAGTACTGATACATACTACAACATGGGTGAAACTTGAAAGCATTATGCCTAATTAAAGAAGCCAGACACAAAACACCACATATTATATGATTCTATCTAATGAAATGCCTAGAATAGGCAAATCCAGAGACAGGAAGTAGATTAGTGGTTTCCAGAGAATGGAGGGAGGAGGGAATTGGGAGTGACTGCTTATGGATATAGGACTTCTTTGGGGGTGGGGGGGGGGGGGGGAGAACTGATTGGTATATTCTGGAATTGGATAGTGATAACGGTTACATAATCTTGTAAACACACACAAAAACAATGAATTCTATACTTTAAAATTTTATATTATATAAAATTTCGCTGTATGTATTATACTTCAATTAAAAATATTAATAACTTTAAAAAACAGAAGTAAAATACTGATACATGCTACAAAATGGATGAACCTTAAAAATATTATGCTAATATTATGTAAAGTAAAAGAAGCCAGGACAGCTAAGGGCAATGGGGTTTCTTGTTGGAGTGATGAAAATGTTCTAAAATCGACTCTGGTATTGGCTGCAAAACTGTGAATATTACCAAAGGCCATTGAACTATTTACTTTAAATGGGTGAATTCTATAGTATGCAAATTATATCTCAATGAATCTATCTTAAGAAAAGAAAGAGAACCAGGCCAGGTGACATGGAACAAAACCAACTTACATGATGAATTCATTGGGCTGGCAGACAGTGGTAGCCACTCCTCCCAAAACAATCCAGGGGTTTAACACTGTTTGTCCCCCGTTACAGACGTTCCTGCCTCCTCTGCTGCATCTTTAAAACCCTGTATAATTAGGGGCATCACTTTATCCCTTTCCTAGGGTTTAAAAAGACACAAAGTAAAAGTCACATACTTCAGTTCAAAACCAAGAAAAGAGTCTACACTTGTAGTTATAAAGAGGATCATAAAACCCTAATGGATGTCCTTAAAGTTCACAGACTGTACAGGGAATAAGAAAGGCAGATGGAATAGTTTACACTAGCCATTTTATCAAGAGCTGGAAGATATTCCAGGTTACAATGTGAATGAAGCCCGGACAAACAGAGAAATAAAAACTGGAATGTGATTGGGTGCACAGGGCTACCCGAAATCTAAGCCAACTCTTTAAATGGTCCTTAGGAACTCCAAGACTCATTTAATATGCACCCACTACCCTCCCCCAGAGGGCTGTGTGCAAACAATGGCTCAAATGCACATTTGTGCTAGCAGAAAAGGGCCTACTGAAAACTCTCTTTTCCAAGAGGCAGGACAAACTTCTTTTGGGGACAAAAACAAGTACCTTTCAAAAATAATCTAAGAGAGAATTCATCTCTGGGTCAGAGAACAGGTACAGGTAGCAAGGCTATAGATACTGCCAGGTAAGCACGGGAATACACGTGACACCCCAGCCCCATCACTGTCTTACATCAATGCCCAACCAGCAACCAAAGGGCCTGGCCCCTGGGGGGCCGCATGCCCTGGGTCTGTAAAGCTAGTCCAGTCCACAGGCCTGGCATGAAGGTGCTACTACTGTGGCCTAGATTTTAAAACAAACCTAAATGTCTTGGCTTTAGTCTACCCAGAAGAAAGGGAAGCAGGTGGTGGAAATGAAAATATGAATAGGCCAGACTACTTTAATTCACTAATAACTGCCAAAAAGTGGAGAAAAGGATGAAATATGAAAGCCATGCAGCCTGGGCTCCTCACTTTACAGATGGGAAAAGAAGGGCTGACCAGCCAAGTGAAGTGACCAAGACAACAGACAGTAAGCAGGTGGCCCATCTCCTACTTACCCTATCGGTCATTTTATTACTGATTCCAAGGAGCATCAGCATATTGTCACATTCTGTGACAGAGGTCACTGAGTACATTGGCACATGCTATCCTGCCCTGGAAGAAAGCAGAAACATGAAAAAGGGCAAGAGGAGGACAGGGACTTCCCATGTGTTGAAACAAAGGGATACCTCCCAAGAGAACCCAGGTACTTTCCAGGAATAGCAGCTACTGGGATGGGGTCCTGTTCTGTGATTTGCAGACTGGGTAACTATCCTTAATCACAGAACCACTAAGCCATTCACTTTTTCCAAGTTATTCCTGTTCCCACCTTTCTTTCTCAGGCAATTCCCATTCTAAACACTGGGAGAAGCCTACAGTTTATTTAGATGGAAAACGGGGAGTGGGAAGATGTCAGGGGGAGCAAGGTTGGAGGGATAGTCTGGGAGGAAGAGCTGTGGAGTGAAAACACGTGTCTGAAAGCAAACTTGGAAACAGCCACTTATCCTAAACAGATTCTGAAAAAAAAAAAAAGTGAACTTTACTGATTATAGAAGATGATTTCTATACACTTGGATGGAGAAATTTTTGTACCTTCTTTTAACCGAGGCAACAAGTGGTTTACAACTTGGGTGCCAAGTGCTAGTTAGGGCTACAGTGGGTTCTCTCGGATGCTTTTAGGAGATGCTGGAAAAGGGATGAATTCTGGTTCTAGCTACTTTTGCCACCTGGTCAGGTGGGATACCTGGGGTGTGGCATACCTCAGCCTCTCAGGAATACTGCTTTAGAGGAGAGAACAGATGGATGTGTGGAGGGAAAACAGGTTTCTATTAACCTGTGTGCTGGTCACTGGCACCCCGCCCCCACTCCCATTTAGCTGCCTCATGGCCCAAGTCTCTCTGTGTGCAGCTTGATCCCAGTGCCCTTGGCACACAGGAACTTGGATCCAGCAGTTCAGACAAATCTTCTACACAGTGAGTATATAACACAATTGGGGTGAGAATGCCTAGAATCAGAATAAATGGTCAAGAAGTTAAATTGTGATGAGCTCTATTCTGGACGGAAACATCTAGGATTAGACCTATACAGGGTATGGCAACATCTCTGGCCTGAAACACAGGAATGAGGGGTTTACAAATATCAAAGAAAGAAAAAAAATTACAAACATGCCAGTCAACAGACAGTTAGTAGACAGCAGGTGTTCTTGCACAAAAGAAGCAGAGGGATTTCTGCCTAATTGCTCATGTGCAATACCAAAGGTGAGCAGGAAATAGATCAAATGGTTGCAGTTGCAGGAGTCAGATCAGTGGTGGGATGAGAACAATTTGAATATAAAAAAATAAGCGCACACACACACACACACACACACACACCCAGCCACAACCCAAAACCAATTGAACAGCAGTTCGAGATGTAAAAACATATTAAGTCAAACTTACCATCATGTAAGGGTCATCGACGATAGGATAAATGTAATCTGTGGTTTGCACCAAGGAAAGACCACCATGCCTCAAAGGAATGACACAAGTATCCATCCCAATGCCTGCAAAGATGGAAGTCATCATAATCCACAAGTCAACAGGAAACGCCATTTCATCTTATGCCATCAGTGTTCTGAATAGGAGAGTTTTGTATGAGATACTTACGGAACACTGCATGCTGCCAATACAGCAATGTGTTTCCTATCAAGAAGGATAACTGAAATAAATGTGAAACATAACTAGCTAAAGATAGAAGAGTAAAATTTGTTAGTCATGAAGACTCACATTCAATATGCTACAATTTTAGCCCTTAATGGTGCCTTGAACAGATTCTTTCCTTTGTATTACTATATCATGTGACTGGCACCATATAGAATTTCTTTAAAGATGAGAATAGCAGAAATGGAACTTGGGTTGTTTTATCTATAGTTGATTTGAGTTTATCTTTAGGCATTATTGTTTTCCCAACAGACAATCTGTAAAATATTTTACACACATAAAAAACGGTATTATTACTTCCACATTTTAGTCAAACATGAAAACAATTTTAGAAAAAAAGAAGACAAAGCCAGAACAGGAATTCATCATTTCCAACCAAGCAAGTACGTAAACACTGCGGTACCTAAAAGCATTTTTAAAGAGGAATCCTTACATATGCCACTTCTACTAATTTATAATATGAAGGGGGGAAATGTGCTAAAAAGCCTGTCAGAAGTATTTCAATTTATTAAAATTGTTGCTAAACTTTTAGAATAAAATATAGACAACGGATAGGCTGAGATATAATTCTCTTATCCTGAAATTAGTTTAAAAACCATCTCCTGTAACTTATATTTCTTTGTAATGCAGGCATTTTACAAATTCAATTTGGCCTTCCCACCAAGTAGGTTGAATAGAGTACTTTCCTACACCTCTCAAAAGGATACCGCCTGCTCTGACTTCACCTGTGCAGTCCATCAACCAAAGGCAGAGAAAAAGACACGATGAAGTACAAAAGGAAGCAAGAGGATGACACCCTCTCAACTCAGAATTCCAAAGGAAACAAAAATAAATCACATTGAATCAAATGAAACCAGGACTTGTGTACCATTCATATTTTGCATAAGTAAAATGCTGAAGCACAACTAGTTTAGCACCACCACAGCAATATACCTAACAGAACCCAGGATAGAGGGGCACCTTTTTTCCCCCAGGTCTTAGTCCATTATTACTAATGCAAAAATAAAATCAAGTAAGTTCATTAAAAAGTCACGAACACTGTGAAGACAGGCTGATTTCCCCCCCTACTACACCAGATAGCAAACTCTTGGTGGAAGATTGTTAGGAAATAGAGAGTTTAGTTTTAGAATGGTAAGTCTCACAAATGTAAGACAATAGAACCCACTTTACCAGTGATTGGTTTTCATGTGTATTAGACAAGGATGTGTGCAATGACTCATTTAAGGATGTGTGCAATGACTCGTGTATATGTGCAGACTCTCAGAAATTTCATTTAACAACTGTTCTTTAGCATTTAAGTGAAATAGAGCAAGAACCACATTTAACATACTGATTCTCCCTAAACTGATCATTCTAACTGGTTATTCCAAGTGTATTACTATTTATTTTGGAAATTAGTATAGTTTTTTTAAGTTCTTATATAAACTATAGGACTACAGAGAGAGACACTAAAAAACAGTTGCTGAGCCCTAGCCTGTTTGGCTCAGTGGATAGAGTGTCGGCCTGGACTGAAGGGTCCCAGGTTTGATTCCGCTCAAGGGCATGTGCTCAGGTTGGGGGCTCGATCCCCAGTAGGGGATGTGCAGGAGGCAGCTGATCAATGATTCTCTCTTATCATTGATGTTTCAATCTCTCTCTCCCTCTCCCTTCCTCTCTGAACTCAATAAAAATATATTAAAAAAACAAACAAAAAAACCCCACAGAAAAGATATAATCTATTCAAAGCATTACATAATTTACATTATTTAAAAAAAGTCACTGAATGTTAGCTTTGTTTTTAATTTCAGTTATCTTACATTTGTATTACATGTATTTAATTTCTAAGGTTTTAAATTTCTACTTAAAACTAGCACCAGAGCATTTTAACTGATGACTCTTGAGCATTTTCCGAGGGCTGAATAGAAGCTCACATTATCCGCATTTCTTCTTTCATAAGCTACTAACTACATGTGGTCATGGTGCATGTGAAATGTGTTTATTCCAAATAGAGATGCATAGTAAGTGTAAAATACTTATCAGATTTTACACACTTAGTACCAAATACCCCAAATCTCATGTTTTATATTAATTGTTGAAATATTTTATATGATTAAATGAAATATATCAAAATGAATTTCACTTAATTCTGTTTTTTTTTAAAATGTGACTACTAGGAAATTTAAAATTACACATATAGTTTACATGTTTCTTTTGGACAGTACTGGCCCATAGTAACTGGTTTACAAATCACCTATCAAATTTCAAGGAAGAAAGAAAGTGTGAGCCTGAGATGGGCCATGGGCCTGAAAGAACTGGATAGAATATCAAGGTGAAAGAGAGAGAGATAACTCAGGTTGAGGGCAAGTGGGAACAAAGGGAAATTCTCAAATACCAATCTGAGCAGTGTATGTTCAATTATCAGTGGGGAACGGGGAATTCTAGTTTTTCAGCAAGACTGAAAACATCCATCAAGAAAACCCAAATCATCATATCATGACCAGGAACGAATACTTGACAGCTCTTAAATACCAGACAATAGATGTTCCAGGTTCTCAGATACACTTATTTTAACATTTCTTTAGTTAGAATACATCCAATATGCACACATTTAACAACAGTTATGGTTTGTCCTTCAATTAATAGCATCTTAGAATTCAGGAAATATGACCGCTTTTAGGAAAAAATTTAAAAACAGATAAGCACATTTGTGTGGATGAATTTATAAACAAAAATACATATATATATATATCTACACTAATAAAAGACAAAATGCTAATTGACCGTACCTTTGCTACGCCCACCAGCCAATCAGAGCAACTATATGCAAATTAACCCAACAAAGATGGAGGTTAATTTGCATATACCGACTGGGAGCGAAGACTGAAGACAACGTGGAAGTGAAGCGCTGCAGAAGGGAGCAAAGTAGAGGTGGTGGAGACAGGAACAGAGCCAAGGCGACAGAGGTGGGAGGGAAACCAGCCGGGCGGCAGGGCAGGAGGGAAGCCTGCCTCAGTGGGTTTCGCTCCCTTCTCTGCTTCGCTCCAGCCACAGGAAGTTCTATTCTTGCAGGAATCTTCCTGCAACGGGCCTCTAGTGTGTGTATATATGTGTGTGTGTATATATATGTATATGTACATGTATATGTATATGTGTGTATATATATATATATATATATATATCTCCTATCTAATAAAAGAGAAACATGGTAATTAGCCGTACAGCTGCTAC